CCCCTAACCATTGCTTAAACTCAGAAAAGAGTGGCTTTAGCTGCCATTTCAGTAAAAATTATACGATGGGGTTTTGCAAGTCTACTGGACAATTTTAAATGCGAAGCACAAGCCAGGAGCCGTGCTTCAGACAGCAGTCTGCATCCTCTAAAGCAGCTCTGATGCTGAGATGTAAGAGGACACGCAGAGGTGTGCATATGAATGCAGAACACAGGAAAGGTGAAATAATGATCCAAAGACAAACTTTACCTCCAAGAAAAAAGATTTCCCTATCCCCAGTGTTAATTGGCGTTGAGTCAGGTTTGAGTGTTTTCTGAGTTTAGATTCAAGCGAGGAAAGGATGAGCTCTCCAGATCACCTTCCCATCTTGGAAAAGGCCAGTCCCTTTTGAAACAAATAATTCTTAAATGATTTGTACCTAGTTTGCAATGGTTTTAATCTCTTTGAATAAGACAAAGTATAATTTCAGTGTTTGGAATGGCTGTTTTAAAGGAATTCTGAAAGCTGTTCCTTCAGTTTTAATTCTGTGATTGAAAGACAATGACATGTATTGTTTGAAATGATTGAAGAAAAAGAAAGAATTCAGGTGAAAATATTTGCAGTAATTTATCCATCTCTTACAGTGATCTAGCTTCCAACAGTTATTTAAAAAAAATAATCTAAAATTCCTTCTTGCTTCTTACAAATTAAAATGACTTATACCTGCTTTCCATAACAATAGATTTGACTACAGCAAAGGAGGTTTTTTTTGAGTTATATTCATACTGTGTGAAAATACAATTAATTAAATAAGAGTAGAGGACATTTTAAAAAGATGTAAGCTTTATTAATTGTTTATTAATTACAAACTGATTTATGTCACAAATTCCAATGTGCAGCTGACTAAGCATATGTAAATGGAACAGTGCTGCAGTGCTGGCTCGCTTTATTCCTATTTTGAAGGAGAAATTTCAATCTGTTGTTGAAAGAAATTCAAGATTATTTTTGTTTGTGGCAAAAAGGAAGGGACGTATAAGCGTCAAACTTCCTCATTTTCTACATTCTGCTTCTAAAATATGATAGCTGACAACTTTTTGCAGTATATTTTTTTTTTAATATGTGCCTATTTAGTAGGACTCTGTTTCTGATGCTTGTGTTTTCATTAACTGCCAGTGACATCCTTTTACGTATTAGGCAAAATTTTTTAATGGAATCAAAATACATCATTGTTTTTAATCTATATTTCCCTTCTTAACCTTTTGTTGCTTTTCTAATTATATTTAAAGATTTCAGGTATCCAGCCCTGGGACTTTAGAGACTGTCCATATTTATCTTCAAGATTCAGTTGATTTCATGTCCCTTTCTGATTTTGAACCAGTGCCTTAGAAACTGATTAGAATAGTATTATGTAGATCAGACTGTGAAAGGCGAAGTTGTGATTTAGTTTTTGTAACATGTAAGGAGAAACTGTAGTGAATTACTTAGTAAGCCTAAGACACAAGTCTCAGTAATTTTCAATCCATCTCCTTGACAGCTTTGCTACTTCTTGCAATACCTTCAGGAGCAGACCTGTAGTCTGTAAATTGCAGTGCCACAGGAAAGAACTGGGTTTAAAGATTTTTGTTGTTGTTGTTCATTTTTTTTTATTTCCAAAGAGTATTCCTGAAATCAGTATTTCTGACATTATTTCATGAGTACCCTTTTGGGGAAAACAACAAATCCACTGGAGAGACCTAAGACTTGGTAACTTTTCAAGCAGGAGAAGTGAAGGCTCTGGTTCGTAACCTATTTGCAACACAAGAGCAGGTTTTAATGTGGGCTTTGCACTTTACAAAGCACGTCCTAACTATTTGGCTGGTAGTGTGTTTTTCTCTGAATTGTTATGAGAGGAGGTCCAAAATAAAGGTTAATATCAACAGCTTCCAGCTGCAGTGAAGAGGGAACTTGCCAGAGTGACAGAAGCATGGGTTCAAATCCTTTAGGCAGGAATTGAACTTAGATTTTCCAAATTCTGCACCAGTTTTCCTCTTGTTTCTTTCTCCAGCTATTTTCTTCTCAGAATGTGAAAGGAAGTAAATCCATATTTACTACATTCCTAGCTTTGAGCATCATACTGTAAGTCATAGTATCTTTTTTAAAGACAAAACTGAGTTAATTATATCAAAATATATGGATGTGTTTCTTGTTGAATCTGAGGAAATATAACGGGTCTGCTTTAAATATCCTTTAGTAGAGCAACAGGCTTGCTAAAATAAATGATGGCTCAAAGTGCCAAATTCAAATGTGAATGCAAACTCAATTTTAGATTTGGATATCCTCACGATATACCATAAGTCATTCTACATCTGAATA